CTCTAACCCATCCATTCATGATTCCCTGTTTTTGAGCTTGGTGACTTCCTTCCACTAACTCTTTCTCTGTGCTTCGGAGCATCTGTGAAAACCTCCATCAAGGCACTTACCATACTGAATTAGAATTTTCAGTGTATGTATCTATTTGCCTTACTTACTATGCTCAGAGCACTTCAGGGCAGGAACTCTGCCTTATTTTCTGTGTCCCCAGCTCCTCCTACAATAATTTGTGTTTTTAAGTTATTTTAAGTGTTCAGTGAACAAAATGAACATTCATTATTTTTTTGTAAATGAATGAAATCCTGGCCTAAATCCCTGGTGCTACAGTTTAATTTATTGTTTGCTCTATCTTTGGTGGAGATAAAGAACACAACATTAAATCATTGTATCAACCCTTCATGAACTTGAATGTCACTATTACATTTCCCTTTAAACTTCACTTCTTTTGGTTCAATAATCCTTGTTTCCTTAATATTTTCTCACTAATATTATATTTCTTTAATATGTTCTTTTGTTCAATGATAGCAGACAGGATTTTCATCCACCCAAGACCAACCTCTGAGTCAACATTTTGAAAATTGTTCCCAGCCTGATGATTGTTAGCTCATTTCAAATGCTTATGGAGAAGACTTAGGACAATAGAAGTAACATAAAAACAGAAAGGTAAGAGCACAAATAATTGGAGTATCTACTTGCTAAACTTGCTGTCAAACCAAATAAATAATAGAAATCATCTTCCAGTACAGGAATATCACATGACAACAGAGCCAGAGAATCAATATAATTATTAGAGGGAAAAGAACAGCAATTCAAATGAGTCTTAGCACAGTTTGAGTAGAGATGAAATAAAATGAATTTTTACACCCCCACACAAGCAAAAACATACGGATTTATACATATTATATGTAATAAGGAGCAAGTCTTAAATAATTAAGAAACCACAGACAAACCAGGTCTACAAGAAAGAATGATTTTACAATTATGAGTTAAAGGCTGGTTTTGCTGAGACACCCTGTGATAGATATTACCCACAACCCCATACACACCCATCCATCACCATACCCTAGAGAATGTAAAGCTGGACTCAAATTCTTTTCTCTTGTTATATTTATCTACTGTGATTCAGTCCTAAGTAAGTGAAAGCAAGAAACAACCTTTTTGTTCCTCCACCTATGATAACCAGCCAGAGTCTCCACTAGAGATTTTTTCTTATCATGGGTATATATAAACTTGTTCATTTATTAGGGAGATCTTTAGTATCATGATAGGTTCTACTGAGATCCTAATCCTCCCTATGTTGGCCACAGAAAACTTGCCTTACATTCAATGTTCTCTTAACCAACTTATCTACAGATATACTCACAGAAAATTAACACAGACATTATCTCCTTCTCCACACACTGATACACATTCATAGATACACAGACACACAGACACAGAGTCACTCTCAGCCACTCATCCATGCAGAAACACACACCTTCATATATAACTGACACATGCATATATATATACATATATATGCAAATATATCCTCTCTCAAGTCAGTTTCATAAAAATATTTCTCTTTCTTTCTCTTATATTCATACTCATACTGGTTCAAAAACAGTCAATTGCCCATTGGTTGGTAAATTGAAAGGGTATCTGTGTTGGAAAATAGAAGTGGGTGTCAAGGGGGTAAGTACACAATTGCCACAGAGAAGGCAGTAGCTGAGTGATAATGGGTGGGTAGGTGACAGAGTGGCTGAGTAAGAAGGACAAGCAATCAACTATGATAAGATTCCAGAATATTATATTTTCCAATTTTTTTAATCTCAGTGTGGCTTTCCATTGAACATTCCTCAAGTCTCATATCTTCCTTCTTTGTCTGGCAATCTTTAGCTCTGTCTCAGTCTCTCTTCCTCTGTGTGTGCGTGTGTGTGTGTGTGCATGTTTTACTTTCCCATAACAAAAAGCTAATCCTAGTGCCAGATAATATTTTATAACAATGAGATCCATGATGTGTAAGTGTAACTGCATTTAAGAATTTTTTGTAGTAATGAAGTAACTAAATAAAATTTAATATTAAAAAAATTATATTACCAAATTTCTACAATAAAAAAAAAGAATTTTTTGTAGTAATGAATTTCTGGAAATGTAATGAGAAAAAGAAAACGCTCTTGTTTATTTCTTTCAGGAAATTCCTCTATTCCCCCTGGTTTTCATCAGCTATATTTTTGGCAGGCTGTGGGCATGGAAATTTGAAGACATCACTCTCAAAGAGAATTATAATAATCATATTTGATTTATACAGATATCACCATAGGGTTAAGCAGTTGGAAAATCCAGCAATGAAAATGAATAGGCACTTAAAATTAAGGACATATCATATTTTTAGTAACTCTCTGGTTTTTAACACCAGTAGTTCAGAGGAGATATTTTTTTTAGACTTCTAAAGTATTCATAATGGCAAGACAGATTTATATCTTATAGGATGAGCACCAAAGCAAGCTAGAGATGCTGGTATACTTCCTGAAAATCCATTAGAAATATTTAATCATTTGGATTTCTTGAGCTATATAGACTGTGTATATAGACCATGAGGTTTGGAATGGTTCATATATTTCCACTTTCCATCCAAAAATGAGCAGAAAAAGTTCCCACTTAATTTATAATTAGGTTTTTCGGCACATTTCCTTAAAAAATTAAAAGGGAACAATCCAAAATCTGGCCTTTCTTTTCCTCCAAATATTTCCAATTAGTTATACACTAAAGTATCTTTTGATAAAATATTTTTCTGCTCCATCCATCCCTAAAGCCAAGAGCCATAGCTGCGTTATGCCAAATATCTAATCAGTCATCCATTGTTTTCATGTTTTTCGATGTTTTCATAAAGCTGGTATTCTGTAGAAACAGGCTTATTCTATCCAGTCTTTTGTTATCTCAGTAGTACATATGGACACAGATTTTTCTGTTTGGAGTATTTCTTAAGGGCAATGACTTATTATAGTTCCAATACCTGCAAATATTTGGCAGAGATTGTTTCATCCTCTCTATATTCCTACTTTTTCTGCAAACCCACCCCACCCCCATCTATTTCCATTATGGAGGTTTAAGTTTATATAATATGTCCTTTCCTTCATGCCATTAATGATTTATCTGTAACCCATAAGATGTGCAATTGCTGGAGGATAATGTTTACTTTCTAATCACATTTCATGAGGAAAACTTAGGTCTAAGATAAAGTGGTAGCAGGATGCAGTAGGAAGGATCTTTAACTCACAATCTAGAAGCCTAGTTCCAGTTTCAATTTTGTGACTTTGACCAAATTTTGCTTAACAATTTGTCAAGCTTTCAGTTTATACCACTTTAAAGTATAGGGCTTCAACTAGACCAACATCAAGGCCTAACTTCTTATGATTCTAAGAATGGAAGTCACTAAGATTATTCTTCTCTACAGTCTTGATATGAACAAGAATATTACCTTGAACGAAATCAACAAAAACACTGAACTTGTACAAATTTATAAACATTTGATATAAACAACAATAAAAAGGCACAAAACATTGTCAGTGTGACTATTCTCAGTATTGCTTGCCACAAATTACAGAAGAAAATATGTATCCTATTCTGAGTATCGCTGCCCTCACCAACACCATAAATTTTACCTAAGGTACATTGACCGTTCCAGAGTATGGCTAGAAGAAACTCTCCACCCATTTTTTGCCCTCCCTTCATCCTAGCTAGAGCTTCCTTAGGGCTTGGCTTATATATTCAGGTCCTATTTAGCAGTGGCAATCTTATTCATTTACACATTTTATTTTTCTGGAATTTCTAAGTTGCTCCCTTTTTAAGAAAAGGTAAACCACATATCAGACAGACAATGAGAATAAAACAATTTGTTGGATCTGACATTTTACCCTCAATATGAAGTAGCAGGGCTCTAATAATAGGCACGCAGAATTGCACATAAATATTATATGGCCCAACAACTTCAAAAAAACTGCCCATTTAACACAAATGAAAGACTAGGAACTTGCAAGGCAGGGACTGCAAACAAGTGCTTCAGTCCATAAACCACAAAAATGACACTGGCACAAAATCTAATACTGGATTAAATATTTATGGCCTTCAGTTTAAATGATTAGTTCAGGTATTTGATCATTCCTCCTGACTTCATGGTACACTGAAGTTCTTTTTTTGTCTTTGTTCTGATTTAATTCTTTAAATTTTAATTTTGTTTCCTTTTGTTTTTTAAAGCAGGTTTAGAATTAGCCCCATGTTAAGGGCTTCATAGGAATTTGTAGTAGCCAGTGCCAATTTTTTTTTCTTTAGAGTACTAAATGTGCAAACATACAACCACTGCCCTCCATAAAAATCTCTCACCTATAGAGATAAACTCAGACACCTCCACCCACACATACACAGAGATATGCCCAACATTCCCATGGCTAGAACATAAATATGTAAATCAGCACAAATGCTAATTGTAGCACACCTACACAGGTACTCACATACTTAAAACAAATGGAATGATCATGGCAAAGATATGTAGTGAAAAATATGTCACTGAAGGAGGAAGGAGGGTGCTGCTCCCCTGCATGGACTACTGATGTAGTAGGCCATGGGCTAACTTCCCCAGAATTGGTCAAATGCAAGCAGGTCTATGCAACAGATGAAATAGGTTCCAGTGGGATCTTGCAGGTGAGTAGGTTATTCTTCACAAGACTTGTATGACAAGTGGAGTTAATTCACTTGCCATGTTAAAAAAAAGAGGTGACCCACATCGGTTCAGTTCTCAGTTTAGGGCACAGGCCTGGGTTGCAGGTCAGGTACCCAGTGGAGGCACATGAGAGGCAACTACACATTGATGTTTGTTTCTCTCCCTTTCTCTCTCCCTTACCCACTCTAAAACTAAATAAATAAAATCTTTAAAAAGAAGTGACCCATTTTATCAAAGAACTTGCTAACTGTGTAACTGTATAAAGAGAAAAAGTGTAAGGGATGTTTCCCAGATCCCTTACCTTGAGTGTCTCAAATCGATCATTCAGTGATGCAACCTGATGGTCTCGGTGACGCCCCACCAGTTTGCATAAGGCACAGATCAATTGGTCATCAGATACGCAATACATGTTCACTTTCTCATTCTCATGGTCCAGGCAGGTGATCCCTCGAAGATGTGCATCTGGCACTGGTTCCACCAGGCGGTGGCTGGTGAAAGGTTTCTTATTGGGGTGTGTGGCCCGCAGGCAACGGTCACAGTAGGAGACCTCACAGGTGATGCACGTTTTCACTGCATCCCTTGGTGGGTCCTGTTCACAGAATTGGCAAGTAATTCGCTCACTAGACATGGTGGTGCTGGGCCTGTAAGTTCTCTCCCGGCGGCTCTCACTTGGGGAATTGGGCCCACTGACTGAAGCCTTCTGGAAGCGGTCAATAATGTTCTGCAGAGTTACATTCCTCTTGAGGCCGTCTAGACCCCGGTGGTTCAGTGAGATAACATACCTGCACGTAGGACACTGGAAAGCAGTAAAGGGTTCAATGGGTTCACCAGAGCTGCAGCTGGAGACCAAGATACGATGGGCACAGCTGAAGCAGAGGCTATGAGCACAAGGGAGCAGAAGGGGGTCTTCAAACAACTCTAGACAGATTGGACAGGTCAATTCAGACTCCAATGTTTCCATCTTTAGTGAAAATAATCCTGCTGAAGCATTAACAACCACAGAAGCTGGGCTTTCATCTGCAAGGAATACAAAGCAAGAGTCAGTAAGCACTCTAAGGGAAAGTGGATGTAATATAATTATTCACTAACCAGTGGGACTTGTTGAATTCCCTGGGAATGCTGAAGTAATAGGAAGGCAATTAGGAATTAATCAGAGACTTTCTCTCCCTTCAAAACTTGTTATTGAAAAATGCCTGAGTTTATTTTCCTGAACTAATAAAGAGAACCTAGTGGTCACCTCTGAATCCTGGTTTACTGATTAACACTACTATTCCAACTCACAACACTAGCATACACCATACCCTCACATACTCTCCACTGATATTCATTGTCATCGACTATTATGAGCTTGAGGCCTTGCAAAATTCTCTATCTCCAGTCTCTGATAATGCTCTATATTTTTCATCAAGGTAAAATATAGGGGCTGCTCCCATTACGCATCTGGTGGAAGGAAAACAAAACCATATTACAAACTAACTCTCCAGTTCTTGAAATGATTCCAATCTTTGAGCTTCCATAAAAAGAAAAGAGAACTCTAGAAAACTGTAGCTCTCGTGTGCAAGATAATAAATTCTTCAGAGTGCAAACTTGAATTACTTATTTTTAACACATAGAAATTTCTGTTCCAACCCATTTCAAGTAAAGTGAAGTATTAGAAACAAAAGATGATCATTTTTATTTTCTCATTAATTCCTCACCTTCAGAAAATTCTTCATTTCATTAAACTAAATGAACAATGATTTCACCTTTTCAACTTACTCAGCAATAGTTGTTGATCAATAATGAAGACAAATCACCTTGTTGCTTCCGTTGCTTTTAACACCTGCTGAACTAACACAAGCCTGTTATGAGGCTCACCTCCCCATGTGTCTTTTCATAGTTCCCAAAACATAACAAGATCCATATCAAGACCTAGATATAAATTAGCAAAGTGAGGAACCAGAAATTTTCAGATTAGGTAATCTTCTTTCTTTTAATTTAATCATTATTATGTTTTTTTCATTACCATTTAGTCCCCTTATACACCCCTTCCCCCAGCAACCACCACACTTGTTGCCCAAGTCCATGAGTCCTTTTTCCTTTTTGCTCAATCCTTCCACCTCCTAACCTTCTTACAACTTTATCTGTCATCCTGGTCTCCATGAGCCTGTTCCCATTTGTTTTGTTAGTTCAGTTTTCTTATTAGATGCCATATATGAATAAAATCATATGATATTTGACTTCCTCTGACTGGCTTATTTCACTTAGCATCATGTTCTCCAGGTCCATCCATACTGTTGCAAAGGGCAATTGTTTTTTCTTTTCTACTGCTAAGTAGAATTCCATTGTGTAAAGGTCCCATAGTTGCTTTATCCACTCATATACTGATGGATACTTGGGCTACTTCCATATCTTGGCGATTGTAAATAATGCTGCAATGAATATAGGGGTGCTTACGTTCTTTAGAATTAGTGTTTTGAGTTTCTTCAGATATATTCTCAGAAGTGAGATCACTGGGTCGAAAGGCTGATCCATTTATAACTTTTTGAGGTATCACCATACTGCTTTCCACAGTGGCTTCACCAATCAGCATTCCCACCAACAGTGAAAAAATGGTTCCCCTTTCTCCACATCCTCACCAGCACTTCTTACTTGTTGATTTATTGGTGATAGCCATTCTCATAGGTGTGAAATGATATTTCATTATGGTTTTCATTTCCATTTCTCTGATAATTAGTGATGTTGAACATCTTTTCATATGTCTATTGGCCACCTGTATGTCCTCTTTGGAAAAGTGCTTATTCAGGTCCTTTGCCAGATTTTTAATTGAGTTGTTTGGTTTTTTTGCCGTTGTGTTTTGCAAGGTCTTTAAAATTTTGGATATTAACACCTTATCAGATGTATTGGCAAATATTTTAATGAGAGAAGATTGGCTTTTTCTTTTTAAAGATATTTTATTGATTATGCTATTACAGTTGTCCCATTTTCCCCCTTCACTCCCCTCCACCCTGCACACCCCCTCCCACCCACATTCCCCCATTTAGTTCATGTCCATGGGTCATATGTATAGGTTCTTTGGCTTCTACTTTTCCCATACTATTCTTACCCTCTCCCTATTTTCTACCTACCATCTATGCTACTTATTCTCTGTACCTTTTCCCCCTCTCTCCCCGTCCCACTCCCCTGTTGATAACCCCCCATGTGATATACATTTCTGTGATTCTGTTCCTGTTCTAGTTGTTTCCTTAGTTTGTTTTTGGTTATGGTGTACTTGTTCATAATTGTCAGTTTGCTGTCATTTTACTGAACATATTTTTTATCTTCTTTTTCTTAGATAAATCCCATTAACATTTCATATAATGAGGGCTTGGTGATGATGAACTCCTTTAACTTGACCTTATCTGAGGAGCATTTTATCTGCCCTTCCATTCCAAATGATAGCTTTGCTGGATAGAGGAATCTTGGATGTAGGTCCTTGCCTTTCATGACTTGGAATACTTCTTTCCAGCCCCTTCCTGCCTATAAGGTGACTTTTGAGAAATTAGCTGACAGTTTTATAGAAACTCCTTTGTAGGTAACTGTTTCCTTATATCTTGCTAGTTCTAGGATTATCTAATTCATTTTAACTTAGGTAATGTAATACGATGTGCCTTGGTGTGTTTTTCCTTGGGTCCAACTTCTTTGGGACTCTCTGAGCTTCCTGGACTCCCTGGAAATCTATTTCCTTTGCCAGATTGGGAAAGTTTTATTATTATTTGTTCGAATAACTTTTCCACTTGTTGCTCTTCCTCTTCTCCTGCTGGTACCCCTATAATTTGGACGTTGGAACGTTTAAAGATGTTCTGGAGGTTTCTAAGCCTCTCATTTTTCTGAATTCTTGTTTCCTCATTCTTTTCTGATTGGATGTTTCTTTCTTCCTTCTGGTCCACACCATTGATTTGACTTCCTTCCTTCCCATCACTATTGGTTCCCTGTACATTTTCCTTTATTTCACTTAGCGTAGCCTTCATTTTTTTTCATCTAATGTGCAACAGAATTCAACCAATTCTGTGAGCATCCTGATTATCAATGTTTTGAACTGTGCATCTGGTAGGTTTGGCTATCTCTTCATTGCTTGATTGTATTTTTTCTGGAGCATTGATCTGTTCTTTTATTTGGGCTATTTTTTTTTGTCTTGACACACCTGTTACATTGTGAGGAGTGGAGCCTTAGATATTCACCAGGGCGGAGTAACCCAGGTGGCTGGTTTGTAATGCTGTATGTGGGGGAGGGGCCTGAAAGGGAACAATGGCACTTGCTCAGCTCTCTGCCAAATTTCAGTCACTTCTCCTGCTTCCCACAAGCAAAATGGGCCCTTCTGGTCCTTATTCCCATGTGGGTGGGTTTGTGTACATTCTAGGACCCTATGGATCTCTCCAATAAACTCTCCTGTGTGGCTCGGAGTTTGTCTGGTTGCCGCTTCAACCCCCACAGGTGTTTTCAATCATGGTTTGAGGCTTTATTTCCCCACATTGGGACCCTGGGTTATACCATCCGTCCCATTTCCCAGTTTCACCTGGTTTATCTACACACAAATGTGGGACAGCCTGGCCCACCAGCCACAGCCTTGAGCTCTGTGCTCCATTCTGCAATCCACCACCTTGCTGAGTCCACCAGCCGCGGCCTTGCGAGACCCAGTCCATCAGCTGCCACCTTGCCTGGAGTCCTCTCAGCCCCAGCTGCTTGACTCCACCCCTCCTACCAGTCTGGATGAATATTTCTTCTTTAACTCCTTGGTTGTCAGACTTCCATACAGTTTGATTTTCTGTCAGTTCTGCTTGTTTTATGTTTTAAAATTGTTGTTGTCCTTCTTTTGGTTGTGCCAGGAGGCACAGTGTGTCTATGTACATCTCTATCTTGGCTGGAAGTGGCTTTTTCTTCTGTTGATGATTTACTTTGCTGTGAAAAAAATTTTAGTTTTCCGTAGTTCCATTTATTTATTTTTTCTTTTGTTTCCTTTGCCTGGGGAGATATATCTGATAAAATATTGCTACTAGCAATGGCCAAGATTTTGCTGCATATGTTTTCTTCTACAATTTTTATGGTTACAGGTCTAATATTTAATCTTTGACCCATTTTGAATTTATTCTATTTTTTGGCATTTAAATAGTTGCCTTTAGTTTTTTTATTGTTGTTCAAGTACAGTTTTCTTCCTTTCCCTCCACTGCAGCCCAACTCCCTAGCCCTTCCCACCTCCCTTCCATTTCTACCCATCCCCTGTTATTGTCTATGTGTCCTTTATAATTGTTCCTGTAAACTCTTTACCCTTTTCCCCTGAAATTCCCTCCCCTCTGGTCCCGTCAGCCTGTTCTCAATTTCAGTGTCTTTGCTTATATTTGGCTTGTTTGTTTGTTTGTTTTGTTGTTTAGCTTCCTGTTAAAGGTGAGATCATATGGTATTTGTCTTTCACCACCTGGCTTATTTCACTTAGCATAATGCTTTTCAGTTCCATCCATGCTGTTGCAAAGGGTAGGAGCTCCTTCTTTCTTTCTGCTGCACAGAATTCCATTGTGTAAACGTACCGTAGTTTTTTGATCCATTCATTTACTGATGGGCACCTAGGTTGATTCCAGCTGTTGGCTATTGTAAATTGTGCTGTGCTGAACACTGGGGTGAATATTTTGGATTGGTGTTTCAGGGTTCTTAGGATATAATCCTAGCAGTGGATTTTATTCTTGTGTGTGGTGTAAGAAGGTGGTCTAGTTTCATTTTTCTGCATGTATCTGTCCAATTTTCCCAACACCATTTATTGAATAAACTATCTTTAGCCCATTGTATGTGCTTGCTTCCTCTGTCAAATATTAATTGACTATAAAGGTGTGGGTTTACTTCTGGGCTCTATACTCTGTTCCATTATCTATGCGTGTGTTTTTAGGTCAGTACCAGGCTGTTTTGATTACTATAGCCTTATAGTAATCATGATGTTAGGTAGTGTGATTCCTCCAACTTTGTTCTTTTTCAGGATTGATGTGGGTATGCTAGACCTTTTTTGTTCCATA